GAAAAAGATTTTGTGTACGATGAATCGAAGAAGGGTCTTATGTTTTTTTATTACATCAAAAGTAGTGAAGAAGTAGAAAGAGATACAAAATACGTTATATTAGTTATAGTATAGGAAGTATAGAACAGTCACCTTCTCCCTCTTCCTTTCGGGCCTTACATAAGGAGCAGCAACGTACGCGTGGCCCGCTACCTGGGCCCCAACCTCGCCCAGGAATAAAAAAATAACAAAATAAAATAAATAAAAAAGGCCAACGAGGGATGGCACGCGCCAAGGAACGAAAGGGGCCAGTCTACAGAGAAGGAGAGAAGTTGAGCAAGACTGATCGAGCCAGCTGCCTTTTGGCTTACCATTCTTCCTCTTCGTCTTATTATTATTATTATTATTATTATTATTATTATTATTATTTTAGTCCTCGGCATCTTCGTCCTTTGATGAGTCTCGATTCCTTTTCCTTACACTAGATTTCGACCTGTTGCTCAAGCTCCCCCTTAAGCTACCAGCTTCCCCCGATTCCACAGAAAGATTCAACAATCTGTCTTTTATTTTATATCAGTCCATTATTTTTTTTATAAATAGAAATTAATGACAACTTATTTTTCAAAATGTCTAGTTAGGTTAAAAATTGATATTTTATTCTTTAACTGTTTGTGTGATTAATTTTGATGGACATTTTTTTTCTTATCAAGGTTTGGACAATCTAAATAAATTTTTTTTTTTTTTTTTTTACTTGTAACTCATTAATTTTTTTTCCATAGAAAATTTCTTAAAATTTGTGTTAGAAATAAATCTTTTATACAATTGAGAGATGAAAAATTTGTCAAAGTATTAAATTAAATAAAAAAATAAATTTTTTTCTAAGATGAGCTTGGTATCATCGGAAAAATCAAGTACAAAAAATCTATAATTTTTAACATGTCTTAATAAGATGGCTTAATAGATCTATTTTTATATCAGGCAGACTGAAAAAAAAAAAAAAATTCTAATTTTTTTCAGAGCACAGAAAATTTTACGATTGAAGGAAATAAAATAAAATTTATTTCTTCTTACGAATGAGAAGAAGAAACAATGATCGGATAAAATAAATATTGAAAGGTATTTAATCCCAGTTAATGCTGATATATTATCTTTAAATAAAATAAATGATCAACATGAGGGAGTGGCTCGAGTAGTTTGTATTTGGTTATTGTCAGTACAAAGAGCTATCATTAAACAACAAAGACTTACGACAAACGACGACACGCCGTTGACCACTGGATTTGTCCTTTAATTTATATTGTCCTCTGCTCGCGTATCAACATATTCTGTATATATAAATGTATGTGTAGGTCCTGGTTGAGCATCACCGCCACCGCATCGCCACCTCCGTCGTCTGGGATATGCCTTGTGTGTTCCCACATTGCACATTTGTCACGTCAAAAGCACACCGTGTCCAAATATTGTTGCGAGGGTGGAACCCCACGTCTCCTCTTCCTTTTCTTTGTCAAGTTAACCTCGACACAACTGGACAAATATAACGTTTATCTCTGGAACAATTTTTTATCTTTGCTATTTGTCTCTTTAAATTTTTTTAGTCTACTATAAAAATAAATTAATTTCTCAAATTAATTTTTAAAATTTCTCTCTTAAAATTTTATTAAAAATAAAGATGTATGATTACTTTGTAAAATAACAAATAAATTATAATAAATAAATAAATAAATAAATAAATAAATAATGAATAAATACACTGAAAAAAAAGTTTTTTTCCTCCTAGAAAACTTTTCCCTGTGGTTAAAAAAAAAGTATTCCTAAAATAAGAATACCAAAGTTTACTATCCATAGGAATAAGTTTACTGGATATAAAAAAACTTGGTATTCTCATTATTAAAATACTACAATCAATATGGCCGACTTAACCTCGCTTGGTCGACACAAATCTTTAGGATAGATAATTATGAGAAACTATACTTTTTATAATTCTTCATTTATAAACAATTTATCATACTAAAATTAATAAAAATGGAAAATAGTATATTAAGCCTTTCTTTTCTTATTTTTAATTCTCATTGTTGTCAAAAAATTGCAATTTCTTGCTAATAGCATTATTTTACTAATTTACTAATAACATTACTAAGGTAAAAGACCTAGTTATTGACACTTGCAATTTTATTTTAATTAAAAAAAATAAATCAACTCTGATAATAATTTAATAAAAATTATATTTGAATTATAAATTTTAAGATAATTGGTTTTTTGAGAACATTTTATTTTTTTAATTAGAATAAAATTGCAAGTGTCAAACAACTATAGGCCAGTGAAAATAACTGGGTCTTTTACCTTATTATAAAAATTGATTATAAGGAAAGAATTTATTGCTAAAATGAGTTATAAATTTGTTGGAGATGATAAATTCCACTCTGACAACTTCTTTTGCATCCAAGAATCCATATAAGTAAGGGAGTAAGGGGAAGTAATATTAATGATTAATACTTTTATTTATAATTTATAAATTATTTAATTTACACAAATAAATATTTAGGTAACTAGACTCAGGCACGAGGTAAACTAATAACTAAAAAACACGCGTACACTGTAGATTCGAGGGAAATGACAAAATAGTAGCGCCACCGTCACGGTTGCTATGGTAACATAGAATTTAGTTTTAGTCCTGTTAAAAAACTTGGTATTCTCAAATTTAAAATACCAGTTTTCTTAAATCTAAAATATTTAACTAGACTTTTACTTCGTACAAGAAAACTCGACTAAAAAATATTCAGTATTCCGGGTATAAAAAAACTTTTTTTTTTCAGTGTAATAAATAATAATAAATTGTTATGTTATTTTGAAAGTATTTATTTATTTATTTGTTTTTTAAGTACGGATGCAATTCTTCACCAGCTGCGACACAACAAGTTTGTTCTCTTGCACTCACTTGCGTTGACCAGTTGATTGTCCAGGCCCTTGTTCCCCAGTTGGAGCTCTATCTAGCTCTAGCTAGCTCTAGCTCAACAAATGGAGAACCTGAGCCAGGCAGCCTAGCCGGCTAATTAAAATAGCGAACGGTTAGCCCCGTATTAACGCGAGTTTATTGCCACGTGGAATTCAATTGAATCGTTCTAAGACCGCGAGCTGCTCGTAATTACCATTACCGTTTCTTTGGATGTCCAACTCGCGTTTTATTCAGTCGTTAACACCAACTGGATCGCTGTCTTCTTCAACTTTTACTCATCCTATCCGTTTCTTTATGATTCCTCTCTCGATATATATATACATTGCATTGCATTGCAACCAGACGTTATTTCAAATTAAAGATTTATTCGTTTCTCTTATTCAATATTATTTATTTCTTATTTTAAGGCACACCGGTATCGGGTTTCATAACTTGTTAATTGTCAATCCTGTTTGTACTTGTTCGCTCAATCAACATTTTGTATCTCAGTTAAGATAAGACTGATCTACTCATTTTTTTTTATTTAAACACCAAAATAACAATAACAATAAAAATTATTATTATTTTACTGAAATATATGAAAAAACATTTGTGCACTAATGAAAGGATTTATTTATATTTAATAAGCTTTATTAACTGTTAATAAATGTACTTTCTTGCCAAATAAATATTTATTGAATGTTAAAAAATATTTATTAAAATTTAATAAATTAAATAATTGTCGTCAAATAAATTAAATTATTAATAAATCCTTATATCAGTGTATTTACCCTAGTATTTATATATTTATTACATTCACTCTGTATATTTATTATATTATATATTGAGTCATAAATTATAAAAAATTTTCAATCTTATATTAAGAAAAACAAACTTTATTAAACTTTATTTGAGTAATTAATTTTTGGAATTGCATCTTTTACACGTAGATTTTACACGTCAATTACGAAAATTAATTACTCAAAAACGGTGCGGTGAATTGATCTGAAATTTTGGTGGTAAATTATTAATTTATTTATCTTTCGATAAAAAAAATTCCATAAGTTTTTTGAAATATGCTTTTCATGGAGGTACTACCTTAAAATCAACAGTTCCAAAATTTTTATTGTTATTTTTTTTTTTTTAGGTATTTTTAATTGATTAATACCATTAATTATAACGAGGAGGACGGACATCGCAATCTTTGTATAAGACACAAGAGTTAGTTGAATTTAACCAGTAGTCATTTTTGCATTTACACAAATTCCAAACTGCTTCGCACAACTGTTGTGAGAAACAAACGAATTATAATTATTCATATAATTGTGAAACAAAATATCTTCATAACTTAACAACTTACTTCAATCTCAAATTTATTGGCGACATCGCATCTTTTGTAGTTGCAATTTTTTCTTGTTTAATTCACATTGCATATTCCTGTATTTTCATCCTCATATTCATATTCCATAGGAATATACTCTGTTGTTTTTTCTAATGCAAATGATGAATCTGTTAAATCCGACAAAAATTAATTATTATTACTATTTCTTTTACCAAAAAAAAAATTTATTGACTTACATAAATAAATAGCTGCTACGAACAATAAGAACCAGATGCGTAATGAATCCATTATTTAAACTTTGTTGCTTTTATGATAGCAATGCGGCCGTGATTTTTTTATGAAAATAAAACTAAAGTAACACGTATCTATCACAGCATATATACTTACCTCACATAAATGTATAAAAGTCATATTTGAGCCACCTTCTTTATTAAAACTACTAAATTACACTAATACAAAGATAATATTGCCACCTATGACGCCAGAGCTATTATTTAATTAAGACTAGTGAGTCACGTTAAATTTGATAAAAAATAGATCATTAAATTTGTGAGTAATTTTGGTACTGATAAGTACCTTTAAGTTTGAAAATTTCAGTAATTTTGAGAAAAAAAAAACCAATGCAACAGCAAGTTTTTATAAAAAGACAGTAAATTTTATTTGACATATACAACAAAATATGAAAATTAAAGCTTATTTAAAGAGCTTTCAGGTACATTTTACAGAAATTCAATACCATTTTGCATTCAAAAGTGATTTGATAAATAATCTGTAAAAAAAAGTGTATTTTTAGGATTTTGAAAATTACATGATTGATCAAGCTTATATTTAAATTTGACCTTCGTATTTATCAGTAGATTAAATATACTAAATTTCATAAAGATCCTTTGCAAATTGTAGACACCATCGTCGTGACAAGCCGCGTTCTCTATCACAAATATACAATTATATAAATACAAAAATAAATAAACTTTTGAACCATATGTATTTTTTGACTCAGCTCATCGAGTTAAGTCGGAATATAGTAAAATTTTTTAAAAGTTCTGTCACAAGGACCAATGCAATAGTTAGATTTCTATCATTTCTGACATCACTTTTATGTAGAATCATTAACATTTGTAATTATATTGCTGATAACTGTGCTGCTTTTGATTTCATAGGCTACAATCAGCATTCTAGCTGTAGCGCCGACGTATACTTGCAACTCTTTTAATTGCTATTACCCATTATTATACGGTGCAATCTAAATTATTAAATATTTTTTATTATATTCTAGAAAAATTATGTAAAAATTAATTTATTACTTACTTATTATAACAAATTATAATTCTCGCTTGTACTACGCTTTTTAGTTACTAAGGTACACTAAGATATACTTTGTATAAATTTTTCAGTGACCCCATTATTGGCTTTACCGCTGTTGGGTCTCATTATATTGAAATAAATAAATAAATGAAATCTTCTAAAAATCTACGCAGAATAGTAAAATGTATCTTAATTACAGACAAAAAATAAAAATTTAATTAATTCAATATTTAACTGTTCCTTATTTATTCAGTACAGTACACATTTCAATAATTATTTCACTTCTTCTAGGTATTTTTAATTAATTATCACTACTAACCAAAATAACGAGGATGTACATCGCAATCTTCGCGTAAGACACAAGAGTTAGTTGAATTCAACCAGTAGTCGTATTTGCACTTACACCTATTCCAATCTCCTTCGCACATCTGTTGTAAGAAACGGAAGAATTGTAATTATTTTTATAATTGTAAAACAAAATGCCTCCATAACTCAATAACTAACCGAATTCACAGTTTCTCTGCCGATTGCACATCTTTGATCATTGCAGTTGTGTTTTGTTTGATTCTCATTGCATATTGTTGGATATAGCTCTTCATAATCATATACTAGAGGCTCATACTCGGTTGTATATGATGAACCTGTTCAATCCGACGATAATTAATTATTATTACTATTTCTTACAAAAAAAAAAAAAAAAAAAAACAACAATATACTTACATGGATAAATGGCTGCTACGAACAATAATAACCAGATGCGTAAGAAATACATTATCAAAACTCTGTTGCTTCTATGACAGTAAAAACAGAACTAAAATGACGCTTCTCTACCACAGCTTATATATACTTATCTCACATATGTATATTTTAGACACCTTCTTTGCTTAAAGCTACTAAATTACACTAATACAATGATAATGTTGACGGGTATGACGTCAGAGCTGATATTATTGATTTAAGACCCGTGAATCATGTTAAATTTGATAAAAAAAAAAACATTAAATTTATGAGCAAGTTTAGATCTGATAAGCTATATTTAACTATTTTATTCACCAGAAAATTACGTTAATGATAATGATGATAGAGAAATCTACGCAGGATGATAAAATATATCGTAATCACAGAAACAAAAGTAAAATTTTATTAATTTAATATTAAATTTTTCTTTAGTTATTCAGTACAGAGAATATCGCGTTACTGATGCCATACACAGTAAAAAATTTTGCGTCATTGCGTCAAAAAACTTAGTGTTAAAAATTTTTGTGTTAAATATTTAACACTCTTTTGTGTTGATTTAACATTGTGTTAAATTTGTGTTAATTTGCGTTAATATTGTGTTAAATCAACACCAAAAAGTGTTAAATCAACACAAAAAAGTGTTAAATATTTAACACAAAAATTTTTAACAAGAAAATCATTTTCTTCAAAATGGTATTCTTGGTTCAAGAGTTTGGCTCTTGAGTCAAGTCAATTTTTTTATCAGTGTACCATATTGTCTTACTAAATTATACTAATAATGGCAAAAGGACAATTTTATAGAACCAAAAGTGCGTGAATAAATAAAAATTTTATTTTAATTTTCTGATTTTTTTTTTATTTATTTATTTTCTTTATACACAACCCAACAGCCTAATGGTCAATAACAGGGTTTCAAAAAGATACATGAGTTAATCTGAATTGCACATGTATCAAACTGTCTTGTGGACATCATAGTTCTCACAATTTAAAATCTTTCCTTATAACAAACCTCCATGAAAAAAAAATATAAAAAAAATATATGTTGAAATATGTAAAAAATATATTTTAAATATATTAAAAATCTATAAAAAATATATAAATATATAAAAAATATGTATAGTAAATATATATATTTAATAACTAACTTTTGGCCGATTTTATATATTTTAAATATATTTTAGATATATTCAAAGTACTTATATTTTTTATGTATTTTAAGATATATTTTGTATATATATAAAATATATATGAAAATCGGCCAAAAGTTAGTTATTAAAAATATATTTACTATACATATTTTTCATATATTTGAATATTTTTTATAGATTTTTAATATATTTCTTATGGATTTCGATATATATTTTTTTTTCAAAAGGGAGAAGCAACAACATTATTTTAGTTATGAGTATTGGCAACATTATCAAGCATTAGATAGATTCGTTTTTGCTTTAAAAATTGAACGTTTTGAACTTCTGAAATACGAAAAATTATTAAGTTCAGTTAGATTTTTATTAACGAAAATTCTGTCAATTTCAATAATTTGGTGTCCCAAGATTTTATTTAATTAACAAATTTTACAGCCTGAACTTCAAACTTTTAGATTGACAAATTATTTTTTTGAAAGTTAAATGGGCGTTTTTAAAAAAAAATTATTTCTCTATTTTTCCATTAAATTTCCAAGAAAAATTTGAGCAAGAAAATTTTTTTTGTATGATTTTTTGGCATTAACAACGCAAAACGTGATAATCATATAGACAAATCTAAAAAATTCCTCATATAAATTATCAATAAAAAAATATATGTAAATCAGACGTATGTGTCGATTCAAGTTTTTTTTATTTTTTTTATGTTTGTTCTTTTCATGAAGAATATATCGTTGAGTGTAAACGTCATATATCTGGGTATTACTCAACCGAAATTAATAACTCAATAAAGTTTCTCTATATTTGTGACCGTAAATCTAAAATAACCAAACCGACAAAAATAATTAAAACGATCTTCTTAATCCCTAAATAAACGAAAAATCATCAATTTATTAACTGCGTTGTACGACTGCAATGTACTCTGTACTTTCTCTTATAAACTAACAATAAATATTAAAAATTTCAATATCTAAAATTTTTAATTAACAATATTAACAAAAAAAAATTGAAAAAAACGTCAAATTACGGAAGAAGATGCGTTGTAATTTACTCCTGAGGCGCAGCAAGGGTCACGCGAAGCCAAAGCGTCGCTACAGGTGGCGCCGTTGTCCTTTTCTACATCCTTGTAACGTGGTTGTTAGTCCACCTCCACTTTTACCTTCAGCGTTTCCTCTTTCCTCTCTGTCCTTTCTTCTTTCTCCTTCCTCTTAACCGCGAGGAATATTATCTCGGATTATGACACGCTGCACCTGCCGTCAAATGACCACGTCAGGTTCTTCTTCATCATCATCATCATCATCAATATTAACATCGGCATCGGTGATCTAACTTGATATTAGTATTGGTATTGGAGTTTAATTCTGAATCAGTAGGTCCTTATCTTGACTGTCATCCTCGATCTTTGGCTCTTTAATTTGTTACAACAAATTTCTCCATAATACCCTACTTACCTTCTTGTTTTTTATTTAATGCTGAATGCTCTTTCTCATCCACTTATATTATATTAGCTTATCTCACTATATTTATGAAAATGTAATATAATTAAACGAAAAACTCAAACTTCCACTTCAACTTCGACGTTAGCTTATCTTCTTCGTCGTTATGTTTTATTATCATTACAATACTTCATACGCTTTATTTAAAAGTCATTTTATTTTACATCCACTCTCGTTAAGTCTCTAGTCACCGGGGTAAAATCAATTAAGGTTAAACCTTCGTCGTCATCATCATCATCATCATAATTATTAGATGATTTATTTTGGCCAGCAATAGAAAAATAATTATTATTTTAAACGTTCCGAGATAATAAAATCCATGTTAATAGTAAATAATAATAATAAAATAAGCGGGAGATTTATGTTTAATTACTAGTAACGTTAATAATAATTACGAATATTTTCCATTCATAAATTCAGCGGATCATGTTAATGATGATATTAAACGAGTTTATGATTTAATTTTTACCCTAAAAAAATATTAATTGACTTAAAAAAAAATACTGAGAAATAAAAGTACTATTCTTGAGAAAATTTTCTTGTCACAACAATATATATTATCGACGTTCTAATTGGCAAATTGTTTAATTCCATTTTAGAGAATCTTCTATTTGTACGAAAAAAAACAACTAGTTCAAAATTTATTATTACTTTAAAAAACTATTTAATATCATTATTATCTAATAGAGATATAGTATTTAGGTTTGAATCATTCAAATAATTTATAATTGTATTATTGCTAGATCAAAATGTTAAAAAATAAGGAGTTAGACAAATTGCTAATTAAACCGTCGATATTCTTGATAATTTTCAAGAATATATTTTCTTGTCTCAAGAATTGATCAAATTATTTTTTGTTTAATTCAAGTGAATCTATTCTTGTTAATCTATCAAAATTAATGCCAATATTTTATTATCATGATAGATATTGATATTATTTTGTCAAAAAATCAAAATTTATTTTAAACGATTTTTGAGCCAAGAAATTTTTTTTTCTCAGTGTAAAAATTTTATCCTTGTCTTGAATTGATTCAAGAAAACAAAATGAAAATTGAAAATTTTTTATTAAAAAATTTTATCTATTAATCCAATTATTTTATTTATTTTTAAATAAAATACAAAATATTTTATCCAAAGATTTCTCACAATACGCACAAAAAAAAATTAATTTAAATCAAGAAAATTAATTAAAGAATTTTATTATCTTGATTTAGGTTAAAAAAATTCTAAAGTGAGAAATTTTTCTTAATTTAAATAAATGTTTCCTAATTCAAGAATTTTTCTCTTGATTCCAATTAATTTTTTTTTTTTTCAGTAAAGTAAGTCTCAATTGAATTTTTAAATGAATAAATAAATAAAATATTTGTTTTGTTAAAGAATTTATCAGATTATGAAAACTATTTTAAACGTCAAAATTTTTTCTTATCAGGCCGAAAAACAATCGATAATAACTTATTAATCATCAATAATATACTACATTAATTTCTGTATTGTAATACTTAGATAAAAAATATTATATTTGTTTTCTGGGAATAAATTATCTGTGAATCATGTTTTGCTATCATAACATACGATTTATTATCACAATTTGTCTTATGTTGTCCTAAAAAAATTTTTTTAGTTTAAAATACGGGTACAAATCCCACAATAATAATAATAATAATAATATCCCATATATTCATAATTATTGCTTACTGCACTTACTACGCTATTAATAATTAATAACATTAGTTTAATTTTCATTCATTAAAACGGTTTGTTTATTATACTCACCACAGTAATCATTTCATAAAGCGGAAATATGCAAATTACATTTAAACACTGTGTTAACTATAACGGACGTACCTAGACAACCATTTCGTATTTTATTTATTTTTTCTAATACTTGATAATATGGATTGGCGCCACATATTATTAAAATATTGCGCATAAATTAATTTCGTAGAAAAAATCTGCGCATTTATATCTATAAATTTTAAAAGACAGCTATTAAACATAAACAGTGCATACGCAACGAAATTGCACGATGGCTCCATTAGTTTTTTCATTTGTTGAATAGAGAAAATGAATAAAAAAATTATATCCACTTCCTCCGGTATGAATAACCAGGTACATCGTAATCCTTAATTACTATTACTATTACTATTACTGTTACTATTACTCCTTCACGGTTATTATTAAATTCTAGTGTACAATACTCGTTATACATACACACTGGTGATTTGCAATAAGTGATTTGTATATATAACACATTAAATCTAAAGGGCGTGGTGGATACAAAAAACTTGATCATACAAACTTCCTGCAGGAACTAGTTGGAAAAAAATTTATCGTAGTTAATGCTTTGATATTATAAATCAATGTGTTCTTATATTATTTCTTTTTGGTACAGAATTTTTTGTTAAGGGGTTAGACGGCTTTCGGAGGTTCAAAAAACCATATTTGTAATATTTTTTTTAATACATCAGATTAAATATTTAATTTATTATTATTATTTATTTAACTTAAATGCTAAGACACCAAAATGCCAAGCTAAATGGCAAAGTTACAAACATTTAAATATAAATATAAATACATGTATGGTTATAGCAAATATATCCATGATACAAATAATATACATTTTATCGCAATATTAATTTGACTTAGTGATGATAATAGGATGAATTTAGACTAGTTAGCTAATAATTAGCATAATAGTGTAGTGATATTCGATGTATATAAATGAAAATTTTATTTTACAAAACCAAATTTTGCTTTTTAGTAGATATTTATAGCTTGTTTTTGGACGAAGAAAAAATTAAAATTTGAATTTTTGATGTTAAAAAAAATACGTAATTTTTGGTAAAATTTGTACTTGTTAAATTAGTTTTGATGCAGAAAAATCCTTCGTTTAAGAACAAGATAATTTTATCACTAAAAAGTTGGTAGATTTATGAACCTTGAGATTGAAAGAAAAACTTTAAGCTAAAAAATCCTGGATAAATTGAATAATTAAAATAAAATTTGAATAATATCAGGTTATAGCATTTTTAAAAATTATGACTACCAACTTAAGAAAAAACAATTAAAAAAATTACTTAATTGATATGTTTTTAAGGTTTTATTACTGTTCATTTTTTATTAAATCAATTTACTCGGTTAAGAATTGATTAATTTTTATTATTAACTTGTTACAAACATAACGAGAACTTTTTATTTAAAGAATGCAATTTATCAGGAAAATTACAATGAAATACTCAGTTTTTTGAATCTGAAGAAAATTTAGCGACGTATGTATTTATAAGACAATTTTCAAGTGATTCGATGGTTTCTGCAGCCGTCTCACCCTCTGAAAAAAATACAAAAATTTCAATGAAATATAATAGCTCAGTTTTTGAATTAATCTTCTACAATATAATCCGATAATTTATTACTTTATGAAGATAATAATAATAGTAATAATTATTATTATTATTATGATAATAAGATAAGTGGATTTTCTTACTTATTTTGAAGCAATTATTGGCTGCACTATTATCAATACTATTGTCATTAGATGATGTGGTATTGAAAAGAGACAACCCTACGCTATCAGACAACTCGAGAAAAACTTTCTGATTCACGGTGTTGTCATCGTTGATCTGTAATAAAATTTATGTCTTTAGCTTTAGCCTTCACACAGAAAAAAAAAATGTTCTTGAATCAAGTATATAATTTTGAAGAACTCAATCTTCTTGATTTAAGTAGAAAAATTCTTGAACTAAATAAATTTTTCTTGATTTAAGGAAATTTTACTTGATTCAAGAATTTTTCGTCTTGATTCAAGACAATTTTCTTCTTCAAAATTATTTTCTTGGTTCAAGAATTTTTCTCTCGAATCAAGTTAATTTTTTTTTCAGTGCACTAGCATTATTTTTTATATTTAATATTGAAAAGTATAAATTGAACAATAAAGTCCTTACTGCACCAAATCGTTTCAATAAACAAGCGTAATATTGATAGTATACTTCTTCATCTCTGATATCAAAAGTTCGTCTCAAATTTTTGTAAATTGTAGCAAAATTATCGTTTCCAAATTCAGGACATTTTTCAAGCTTGACTTGGTCAGCGGCATCCGGAAATGGCTAAGCATGTTATAATTACACATTTAATTAGAAATTATTTTGTGAATGTGAACTTTAAAAAAAAAAAAATTTTATTTGAATAAAATATTCAATGCAAAATTTATTTTGATCAATAATGTTGCAATTATTTTTTGGTGCAGTTTTTTTTTTTTTTTTTTTTTTTTTTTTATCAGTACAAAGATTTTTAAATAATTTTTTCAACAAAAATTATTTTTCTAATTTTTTAAATATTTTTCGTCAATATTAAAAAAATAAGGTTGAAAATTATAATTAAATTTATTAAAATTGGCAAAGAATTAAAAAAGATTCAGCCGTAACATAAAAAAGCACCTTTGAAAAATAAAATATATAATGAAAAAATTAATTTTTAAATTTAATAAATTTTTTATCTTACCAATGCAAAAACAATCAACAAAATTTGTGAAAAAAATAAAATACTAAAATTCATAATTTTTTTTTTGTATATGGTGTAAAATAAAGACTGTTTCAAATTAACAAGTAAACTGATGATTTGTTGAACATATTAAAATTTTTTTATCTACTTGAAATTTTTTTTAAAAACTTAATAAAACTTTATCTAAAAAAAACAAAACCGTAAAAAATTTTTTAAGGAAAAATTAGTCATAGATAATTCAATAAAATAATTTTTTACAACTTATTCACGAATAGTTAAACCCACCTAAATCATGCTTCGTAAATAAAAAATAAAATAAAATATATTTATCAATCTATGCTGTATCTATATTGTAAAATAAATAAATAACAATGTTAAAATATTAATTAAAACGAAGCAATATAACCAATAACAGATAAATAATAATAAAATATGCAAATGATCAGTGTGGATATAAGGGCCGTAATTAATGTACAAGCACGTCGACCAAACTTAGCTTCTGTAGTTTAATTCTCGTATGCTTATTCTCTTATTACACACACGCTTGCAATGACTCAAACTTCCAATATCGTTAACGACCCTCGGGCACCTTCTTACAGTCGCGTAAATCCGGATGTCGGTGATAAACTTTCGATTACTCGTTTAATGCCAGGTAAGCTTTTCTGCGAATAATAATAATAATAAATAAATTTGATTGATATTTTTTATAGACCCTACAATATCTTTTGAAATAAATACTTACACGCCTAGATTTTGTTTTAAATAAAATTTTGCTTTATTAAATAATGACTATTGTTAAATTGCACTATCTTAAATATTGACAATTTTTAAGATATAAGCTCATCCCGATGTTACACTCATCAAGAGCTTTCATTTGAGTACCCACATCAATTTTTCATATATTTTTCATATATACATATATATAATATATATTTTTAAGATATAAGCTCATCCTGATGTTACACTCATCAAGAGCTTTCATTTGAGTACCCACATGCATTTTTGATATATTTTTCATATATACATATATATAAATATATAAATATATGAAAAATTGATGTGGGTACTCAAATGAAAGGTCTCGATGAGTGTAACATCGGAATGAGCTTATATCTTAAAAAATATCAATATTTCACAAGATACAGCCTAAATACTTATCATAAAAAATTGTGTATTTATTAAAATTTTCAGTAGAAGATTTAAAACTTAAAAAAATTATTGACGTAAAATAGAATTTTATAGGGTCGTTAACCCGCTGGTTTATGATTGTAGATTATAGATAAGCTATTATAAAGTAGTCGGTTATAAGAGTTGTATATAGATTTAAAAGGGATTTTATAAATACCTAATCCATCGATCTTCAACAATGACTATCCACCTGACAGTTGTCTCCGCGTCTTGAGGTAGGCAAAAATTTACCGTCCCCGTTTTCATCCATCACGATTGAGAATTGCAAAACGCTTATTCGCAACCTCGATTTAATTCTATGTATGTCTACTTCATAGATCAACTATCGATTGCTATATTTTTTAGTCTCCACATTTTTTTAATTATTATTTTTATTACAGTACGATTTTTTACTTATGTCTCGAAATTGCACGCCCCAAAAAAATACTCCGTAAAATTGAGCATTAGATAGATGTGATCAATGAATGTAGATCAATGAATGTGATTTTTAATGAGAAAAATGCAGGACTTATCGAGCAGAGAGGCAAAAAAAATGCATATCCTTAATAGGCGAAGACTAAAAATGTAAACACGTGGCATGTGAATTCTTTGCTCGCGTACTATATATATAGTATACAGTACCAGACGAACGTGCACCGAGCACTCAACGGGACGTCTTATACAAGCGAGCAATAAAAATTATTTAACCTCATACTCAGTCTTGAAGATTACGAGCAAAAGATACGTAAGAATTTTTCTTATGATTCTGTCATTTAAACTAGTATTAATTAAAGTTTACTACGTGTGTAATACTGTATAGGAGTTTAGTTTATTAACAGGCTAATGAGAGTTCTAAAGATTTTTTTAATTGGAAAAAAAATAATTTTAATTACCCGACTAAACTTTTATTTTATTCTACGCCTTATTAATTAACTCTTATCCAAACCTGACATTTTATTTTACTGTTAATTTTTATTTTAATTGTAATAATAATTGTAATGTATAATAAACACATAAAAGATGAGAGATAAATATTTTTTAGCGGGCAGCCAGATCAAAATAACGCTTAAACTCCGCCCAAAATATAAATTGAACGTTACCAGTGTGTGGTCCAGCTACCTAACCAGGTTGATCATATCCAAGTAAGGGGTTGCATATGTGCTCATGTCTCATGTTCATTCAAGTAATCTTAAATATTTCATTACACTTGTGTGATGTCTGTGTAAGAACTACGAGACATGTTGATCGAAGTTTAAAAAAAAAGTTTATCGAAGAAATGAAACAAGCACAAGCAAAGGGTATTATTGTTATTATTTTGTGTCCAGGATAGTCATAATATGATAAAATCGGTTTTTTAAGTTAAATTTAGTGTCATTGCAAAGGTCTTGATTTTAATTTGTGCCTTTTCAAGGTCTCTAGATGCATAATTAAGAAATGACCTTGTATCTTGTGAATTATTGACATTTTTAAAGATATAAGCTCATCCCAATGTTACACTCTTTGAGACCTTTCATTTGAATACCCACATCAATTTTTCATATATTTTATATGTACTATATATATATATATATATATATACATATATGTATATATATGAAAAATTATATATATATATATATATATATATCGAAAATGCATGTAGGTACGGCCCTCCCCCACGACTATCAGTGTAACATCGGGATGAGCTTATATCTTTAAAAATGTCAATATTTAATAAAGTATTTAACAAAATTTTATTTATTTATAGTTTATAAATCACGGCAGTCACATAGTGACTGCAAGGTTGCTAGTTAAATATAAATGTAATTACCTATAATTAATTTTTTATCAATTTGATAATTAAAAGAGTATAATGATTATAAGTTAAAAAATTTTGATAATTTAAAAATAATTCAATTTACAATTAAGTTGATATCTCTCAATTACATTTGTATCAATTTTATATTTTTTTTTGTATATTAAGTGTTAATAAATATATATGTTTATTTCATGAGTGTAAATTTTCATAAAAAAAAAAATGATTATGTAACCAGAAGAAAAAAGTTTAAAAAAATAGCGAGATAACACAATACGACAGGTAGAAAATTTATTAGTATCACCCATTTAATTTATATACTCATGAAGATTGTAAAACGTAGGTGTCTGCTATCTAAAGCTAAAGATATCAAGTCTTTCTTCCTTTATTCAGGCACTATCGACTGGACATTTCTTACTCGATAAACCAACAAATAAAATTCCGAGCGAACATACATCATGTGTATTGCGAGTTTTGTTAACTTTTTGGGCTCTCCAGATAATACTGCAACGTCTCAGTTGCCGTAGCAGTGCAGAATAATTGAGTGGATAAAGGTACGTCAATGAAACATGCCGGGAGTGACAAAAAACACCGATATTAAGAGAAACAGAGAAAGCACAAGGAAATCAGCGGGAGCTGTCACTCAACGCTCTATAAAGTACATAAAATATTAATAATTCTCATCATTTATGTGTGATTTTTTATATATATACTTATATTTTTTTTTTTCGTCTCATGAGAATCAACCGGTTCGTTATTTTCAATTTTAACGCTAACTTAACACGTATAAAATATATATGTGGATATTTTTATAAATGAAAACTTGTAATTATTGAAATGATTGGCATTATTGTGACACTAACAACTCTTTTATTGATTATTTTCATCGCGGATACTATCGTTATTTATTTTATTTTCAATCAATAATTTTCTATTTAAAAGCACAATTTTATTAAAATTATTATTATTATTTTAACACAATTATTTATTACATCGTACATAAATCCATAATTTATAATTAGAAGAAAAACAAATTAAATTAGCAACTAAGCCAAATTTTATATTTATTTTACTCTTCAAAATTTTAATTTTGTTAAAAATAACACTTGTATTGAATCCGACGACCATGAATTTGAATTAATTATTGTTTGTCTTCTGAATATGTTAATTGATTATCAACAAGTAAAACGACCACGAGGATGTACATCACAATCTTTGTATAAAACATAAGAGTCAGTTGAATTCAACCAGTAGTCGTTTTTGCACTTACACCTATCATAATTTCCCTCGCACATCTGTTGTAAGAAACGGAAGAATTATAATTATTCATATAATTGTGAAACAAAATGTCTTTATAACTAAATAACTTACCGAATTCTCAGTTCCTTTGCCGATCGCACATCTTTGATTATTGCAGTTGTATTTTGTTTGATTCTCATTGCATATTTCTGGATATACATCCACGTAATCATATACTGGAGGAATATACTCTGTTGTTGTTTCTAATGCAAATGATGAATCTGTTAAATCCGACAAAAATTAATTATTATTAATATTTTTTACACCAAAAATAACAATTTACTTACATGGATAAATCACTGCTACGAACAATAAGAACCATATGCGCAATAAATACATTATCAAAACTCTGTTGCTTCTATGATAGCAACGCGACCGTAAAAACAGAACTAAAATGACGCTTCTCTATCACAGCTTATGTATACTTAAAGCCACACAGTAAAAAATATTGACCTATATCCTGACCTCGAATCTTCTTCTGCTCCAATTGCTCACGACCTGACACGACCAGTACCTGAGCCACCAAAAAAATTATCGCAGAAAAGTAGCTCATCTTTTAGTTCTTATAAAAGTAATTCCGATAAGGAGTTTTTGCCTACACCTGAACAACCAAAACACTATCTCATTACTTCAGAAGATTTTAACGATCTAATTAGAGATTTAAATTTGCCAAAAAATAAAGCAGAGCTTCTAGGCTCTCGGTTAAAACAGTGGAATTTGCTTGATGATGTTAAGATCACGGATCAGCGGACTAGGCATGAAATGTTTGCAACGTTTTTCACGAAGGAAGATG